CCAATGCCAGTGATGCAAGTTAACCTACAGACGTTTCGAATAGATACAGTCTGCTGAAACATTTATAAGACATTGGAAATAATGAAACCCAGGAAACAGATTTCTGTCCTTCCTTAGAAGTAGTAGTAGAGAAATACAAATACGTAATTTATAGTTGTGATTATAGGTGGTTAGGGCGCATGGCTCGTAATCTGAGGGTCGCGAATTCGAATCCCCAACCCACAAAACATGCACACCCTTTTAGCCGTGGGGGGCGTTATAATATTGCAGTGAATCGCAATATTCGTTGATAAAAAGAGTGGACCAAGAGTTAGCGGTGGGTGACGATAACTAGCTGCCTTCCCTCTGCTAAATTAGGGACGGCTAGCCCTCGGATAGCTTTGAGCGAAACTCAAAACAAACAAAATATTTCAGATGTATAGAAAGTTCCGTATTTCCGAGGAATCATGTATTTTACATAAAGACAATGCTGTTTCAGAAACTTTATTTTTTTTTCTGGACGATTTCGAAGTGTCAATATTATTCATTATTTCTATTAGAATGATCCACAGTATAAACACTTACCCGTATAAGCGTCCATATTTCTGATAATTATCTTGCTCCACCAAATGGAGAGGGACGGCTAGCGCAGATAGCCCTCGTGTAGCTTTGCGCGAAATTGAAAACAAACAAACAAACAAACTCTCGTGAAAATTCTATATTTGGGAAGGCTATGCATAAATGGCGCTTGCATAGCTTTGGTCGAAACTCTAAAACAGCAGATAAAAAAAAATTCAAAGTTTATCACAAACATTATTTACAGTGTAATGAAACTGACACAATTTAATTTGGCTGAATTGCTTTGGTACTGATGCGGCATTGTTCACTTTTCATTTTGTAAATCGATAATAATTCTATTAAGAAGCTAAAAATATTTTGTAATACAAAATAGAATGTAATATCTTGATTTGAGCAAAATTACGTTTAATTTAGATTTATGAAAGTTCTTTATTTTTGAGAAAATTGAAAACTTGGAGTAGAATATTGTATTACTTTTTTTTTTAGCCTCCTAAAGAATCGAACCTCGAATTTTAGCGTTATAAGTCAGTAGACTTACCGCTGTCCCTGGACTTGTACGCATGCGTGTTTGTACTAGATTTTGAGGCAATCTTGCATTATAATAATCTACGGCCGAAAATGTCGCTAACAGCGAGGGTACTTAAATGACGAAAAATGTATTATAATCTTTATAAGAACGTAAGAAAAGCATATTTGATCAGCGACAGTCATTACCAGATTGATTTGTAGTCTTAAGTACGTAACTTGCTATAATTGGAAGTTAATATTAAACTCCTCACTCTCTTTGAATATGACCAACTGCGTCTTTTATACAGCCTAACAGGACAAAATATTAAGACATTCCATAACAATCTCTATTATGCCTGTATCATCTATGTTAACAACATATAATCGAAGAAACTTATCTACTTGACCTAGTAGTGGTTAGCGTGCTCGAACTGTGAATCGGGGGGCTCATGCCCTGTTGCAGTACAAACGCGCTCTGTACTATTCGGTCAGACAAGAGTAGCCCAAGCGATGACAGCGAATTTTGTTGACTGGTTGCCTGTTTCTCTTGTGAAATGGCCCGGCATGGCCTGGTGGTTAGGGCGCTCGACTCGCAATCTGAGGGTCGCGGGTTTGAATCCCCGTCCCACCAAACATGCTCGCCCTTTCAGCCGTGAGGGTGTTATAATGTGACGGTCAATCCCACTATTCGTTGGTAAAAGAGTAGTCCAAGAGTTGGCGGTCAGTGATGATGACTAGCTGCCTTCCCTCTAGTTTTACACCCCTAAATTTAACCACTGATAGAAATTTGAACTTGAAATTTGTGTAGGAGTACGTACGCTAATCCTTGGTTGGCTACTCGCGTGATTCAATAGCGTAAGATTGGTCCTGCTCAATCGTAACATTCTCCCAGAATGCACGTGTATATATGATTTAGTTTTTATTATACTTTTTTTTTAATTTGCGCAAAACTACACAAGAACTGTCTGCGCTAACCATCCATAACTGAAGGGCTACCCTTGTCAGAGTAAATAGTTGGACTTGGCAGTTGCTCTTATAACGTACCCAAAGTGCGTACCAGGTTTTTTTTTGGGGGGGGATGGGGTAGTAACAGGATGTACACATAAACTGGATATTATTTTAAACAACCATTTCTCTCACAATATCATAACGAGATGATATAACGGTGTTATTAAATGCTTTTCATCAACTTTTCCATTATGTACTCATTATTATAATTTACTCATTATTGTACCCAACTAATACTGTCTAACTTGTGGGGGCCCCGGCATGGCCAGGTGGTTAGGGCGCTCGACTCGAGATCTGCGGGTTCGAATTCCCGTCCCACCAAACATGTTCGCCCTTTCAGCTGTGGGAGCGTTATAATGTGACTGTCAGTTCCACTATTCGTTGGTAAAAAAGTAGCCCAAGAGTTGGCGGTGGGTGGGGATGAC